TTTTTTTTTTTTTTTTTTTTTTTTTTTTTTTTTTTGGTTCTGGAGATTGAACTCAGGCTCCTACACTTGCGAGGCAGGTGACGAAACCATAGAGCCAAATCCCTGGCCCCATATCTTCACATTTTAAAAGGGAATTTTAAAAGGATATTTTGGAAATAGGTAGTTAAAATGAGAAAGTAATTAACTCCAGATTAAGAAAATTCAAAGTGAACATGGAAACTTCATCAAATAGCATAGTTTTAAAAATTCTCCTCTGGATTTAATTTAAATATTTACTTCCATATAATCACTTTTGGACATATTTGTTACCTTGTCCCCTAAAGTTGGTTGTACATAGGAATTTGAGATTGTTTTAACTGCTACAGTTGACGTGTATTTTGTTCTAAGAAAACTGAAGGTTAATGATTTTTGTCATATTAAGACTAAGACTTAACAATTGCTACAGTTGGCCTTTGTGGAGGTGGGTTTTTTCCCCCTCCGGGCCTTTTGAGGTATTCAGAATAGGTGACAATAGCTTGCAGTTGAGAACATATGTAGAGAGACCCCTGTGGCTTATTGGAAAAAGTTGCTCCATGCTGGTTGGGTGTTTGGAAAAAAAAATACAACCAGAGTTCTTTTATGTTCTGCTAGTTAATGAATGCATGAATGTCAAAATGGGCCAATGGCCTATTCAGGGGGCAAAGCCTTAGCAGCCCCCTTCTTTAAGAACACATCCTGAGATGCAAAATACATTTGCTTAACAAATTAAAATAATGAGATAATTCAATTAGCTTCTTTTTTTAAAAAAAAAAGAAAGAAAAAAGGGTACATCAGGGATTATTGTAATACAAGAACAGGTCATACTACACAAAAGAGAACAAACCAGTTTGAAATAATGTTAAAGAGACTAATAATGGAGGAATGCACATTGAATCATGCACTTGTAAAGCATTTTACATGAAATAATAATTTAGACTACATCTATTTTCAGTGAGCTCGGGCCAACATTTCACTTTGAAAGTTGAAATTAATTAAATGACAGAAAAATATACTGGGGCATCTCTATTTCCAAGGACTTCCTCATGCCTGTTAGTGCATATAAGAAAAGAAGTCTAAATTAACATGTCGCTAGTTAGGGGGTCTGTATTCCTGGTTTCTGAGCTCAGAATTACAGCCGAGTAAATCTTTCAGCTCATTAAAGACTGGAAAGTAAAAGTTTTACAGGACTATCCTCATCAAAGTTATTGAACCTCTTCTCTGCCGTGGGGGTAAGAGTGGAAATGGAGAGAGAAAGTAGTTTCAAAGAGAAAGCTGGGAGAATTTCCTTAAGACACAAGGGAGGACAGAAAAGGCAGAGGGGAGCAGAGGATGGGAGACAAAGCCAGCAGGGAAAGTAATGAAAGGGGAAAGTTATAAAAGAAGGTCACAGGGAGGAGAGACATAAAAGCATTTGGTGAAAAGTAAAAAGAAAGGAAGAAGGAGAGGAAGGACCATCATGAGTGTGGGACAGAGCATTGTTCTGACTAATGTCCCTGAGCAGAACCAAAATAAAGGGACATGAGAAAGGAGCTTATAGATCTGGCACTACATCCCTCTCACCTGAAAAATGGGGAGAAGAAATGTCCAGAGAAGTTAGTGGATTTGATGTTCTGGCCAGTACAGAGGAAAACTGACTTTGAAATGCCGGCTTCCTCACTCCTGGGCTCAGGTTATTTGGGCCCTCTCTCTCTAACCAATGATGGCCATACATTAAATATTTAGTTGGATGAAGAGGTCTGCACAGAGCCCATATGTACACATAATTGCATGCAAACTCTTCTGGGATGGGGTAAGTTCTTACAGTTGGTTTGTAGTACAGAAGAACCCTACGGGCTCAGGAATCATCGGCTAGCCACAATTTTCAGCCTGTGGCCATTGTTCATCATGGTGGCATCCTGGACAGGGAGGTAGTAGGTGAGCCGTAAAGAGGACAAGACAAGAAGTCCAGCAAGGACTCCTGATAGAGAGGACCCTTGGCTTACGAACTCAAGTGGTTCCTGAGGGCTGGTTGTAACTGACTCAGTACAGCCAAGATCTGGATATTTACCTGAGTACACACTATAAGAGGCAGACGAGTCTTCCATTAACCTAATTAATCCAAGTTATTCCTATGCCAGGCCAGTTGTAACTTGAGAGTCAACTGTACTTCCACATAAGAGTCAACTCATGGAATAGGGCAGGAAGTCCGCTCTATCCACAAAGGCTGGGAGAGCAGGGAGCTTTAAAAACAATTAAACACTTGGTTTTTTCATGCCCCTTCCCCACTGACTGAGTGGATCAATGGCAGAGGCTGAGATTTCTGTGAACTACTAAAGATGATGATGATTTTAGCAAAGTTGCATGATGCTGTGAAAAACACCAAATGAGTGACTCTGAAGGCTTCGGTGGTCCTGGACTCAGTTTGATCTTCAGCCAGTCTCTTCCCTTCATGAATTGAAGTTTCCTCACTTGTAAACAGCGCAGCTAAATTCTCTACGGTGCTGCTTATTCTGTGGCATGGCTTTTGAGAGAGGGGTTGGAAACACAGGCAGCTGTCTCCTTGGAAAGCGACGGCTGGAGTCCTTATTTTCAAACAAGAAAGGTGGAGCAGGAGAGAAGAGCCCCGCCAGGAGTAGGGAGCCGACCAGGTGAGCTGGGCAGGAGAAGCCTGCTGCCCTGGGCAGCTACCGGCCATGCGGCCTTTCCTACTCGCTACTCTAACCAAACAAACCTCCGTTAAAAATGAGAAACCCCTCCCCTCACGCTCGCTCTCGACTTCCAAATTAAAAACATTTTACAGGTTAGTAAATCTCCAGCTGAGGTGATGTAGCAGAGAACAGCTGTGAAGTAATTTTGATAATGATGAGAATAATAACCACATGGCAAGGTTCAGGGCTTTGCTGTTGCGGCTTCAGTGCTCCTGAATAGATAAAAGTGATTAAATACTCCTGATTATCCCTGACCAATATGTAATGGATTTACAGCCCTTTCAATTAGTCAGTATTTGCTTAGGACTCATTATTTTGTCTTTGGTTAAGTAATCAGCCCAGAGACCGCATGTTCTGTCTAATTCCTTTGAGCCAAGTCGGTGCAGGGCCCTGACCTTTGAAATGGCCATAGCTCCTAGGCAAAAATCACCACCACCACGGCCGCCGTGTCATTCTCCCAGCTAATCCTGACACCACAGGCCAGATCAATACACCTTCGTTTGCTACTAATGTCCTTACATCAGGTTGCCCGATTTAGGGATGTGAATCTATCGCTTGGCCCTCCCCACTGCTGCTCCACCCTTTGCTCTCTGCAGCTCTGTGAGAAGAGCAGATACCCGGCCACCACCATAAATAAAAGTGGAACCTTGTCCTGGACTCATGACACTGTAACTAATGTCATTCAGCAGGGCAACACGCAAGTTGGATAATCAAAGGAGACCTTCAGCTTCCAACGTGTCACTCTATTTTTTAAGCATTAGGCTAAAGAGAATGGCTTGAAAACAATATTATGGCAAGAAACATACTATGAAATTTTTACCATTTTCCCAGAATATACAAGTGGACAGTAAAATATAAGCAGACCTTGTTTCTCTGTAAAAGTATATTGTCATTTTTTTTGTCATGACAGTCTTAAAGTCAACAGTATATACTGACACATAAAACCCATTGCATAAAAGAGGATAAAAGTAAATTGTTGCTTTAAAAATACTGCACATAATGAATCCTTTCCCAGAAGTGAACATGGTTAACTTTTAAGATAATGGACTTGAACGGCTAAAAAATAGTCTTCAATTTCCACTTTACAAACAAAGGCCTTATAGCACCTATGACCTTCTTTATTTGTCATACAAATACATGACATGTTTGCAAACTGCTTCAGGGAGGAAAGTTGCACCTGATGCCATGAGCTGGGGCATGCATGTGGCAAGAGGCTTTTCTGCCTCTTAGAGGAGACTCTTTCATTAATAGTGCAATCAGCAGCATTTATGGGTCTGTGAGCCCCTTACAGCAATGTCCTCTGGTTGTGGTTGCATTATCTTAAATTGACTCATACCTTTTTGCATAAATAACAAATTTCCTTGCATGTACTGTTTATAGTCCTAGACCATTTTGAGTAAGGTCCGCTACTGGTCTCTACTTTCTAGACTCTAGGGGATGCTTTTTGGATGGCAATAGTAGAAAGAACCTTAACTGTTCTACTAGTCATCAGATTTCAAGACAGAATCGGCACTGTGATTGTTTGTTTGTTTGTTTGTTGTAATCTGAATGAGACAGTATAACGTGCTCAGAGAATTTAGCAAAACAACAAAAACTTGTTTTTTCCTCTTTCATTTTGACTTACTGTGAGATGCTGGAAAAGCCATGCTCTCATGATATTTGTTGCTACTTTGGGGAAAATGCCTCTTTTCTTCTGGCGTTTTTTGTCCTTGTCTGGATCGTCATCGTCACCTGTCCCAGGTGAAGCTACACTGTTGTCTAAACCATCCCCTGGTAAAAAGAAATGAAGATGCATTAGAGAAAACATAACAAGAGTGCCCACAACAGTAGGTAGGTAATGACGAGCTCGGCTAAGCTTGCTGAAGAAATCCATTAAGCGGGTATATGCTCTTTCATTAAAGTATAATTGGAGACACAAATATGTAAAAGACAAAATTAAGCCAGGCCTCTTCAAATGTTAATTTTGTGTGTCTCACACTTGCCCCTATCATTAATTCAATTATAATTGTGTTCCTGACACAGCGCAGTAGCTCTTTGTCAATTATGGCATCCGATGTGGGAAAATCGCCATCAGAAAACCCATCCGGCCCCAATTCGACCCCACACCCACGGTGCACACAGACTGTAGGACAATCGAGGTAAGTGTTCTGTAGTCTATGTGTTCTAGGCCGCCTGCACAGGTGACACTAACTGTGTCACTGCTGATTGTGCACAATGCGCTGCCTGCTCTGCGCCCCCAGAACTGTCACCTCCTTAGCACGCACATTCACATACTCCTCACAGGACCCTGCACTCGGCATTTGCATGAAATGAAAACTTTTAGCTCCCTGCACCACTGATCATTAGTGTGTGGGGGGGTTCACATCAAGGTAGGGCACTCACTTAATCAGAAGTTTCTATCAACATCTTTCTCTTCTGTGCTTTTCTCTGGCATTAATTGTGCATTAGCAAAAATCATTTACTTTTAACAGTCATAGTTATTTTTTCTTGCCCTCTGGCAAAAATGCCTTGAAAGCCTGCCTGGAGGGCATCTAAATTATGTATCTGAAAAACTCTTCTGGCAAGGCATTGCAGGACCCCTACTTTCTTAAAATTCATACGAGCACGTCTTCCTGTTTTTGGGAAAGCATCAATCAAGACCAGCAATATATGCCACATCCCTACATTAATATTTGAACTAATAACTTTTAAAAAAGGGAAAGAAACAAGATCCGACTTGTGGCATAATCAAATGCAAAATAAATGAAGAATACGAGGACAGCAGTGGGGCTTTATAGATGGCTGTGTTTTCCTTGCACATCATTAGCCTGGAGCCACACGAAAGAGGAAAACAGAGAAGTGGAGAGTTTATGCTCCCTGCTGGTGTTTAAGAAGCTGGGGTCCTGAAAGAACATCTGGGAATTGCACTGAGATGGGGGGTTTTGTAATTTAAGAATAGACATTCATTAGCAGTAAATGCCATAAATCCCATGCTAAGTAAAAACCTTGTCTAAGAAAGCCTAAAACAATAAACTCTGTGCTCAATGTAGCCTGAGCTGGATGCTCTGTTGCTTCCCAAGGAATGCCACAGATCCACCAGCTCTTTCCCAGACCCACTCACTCCTCCCCAGATCGATTGTGCTACAACACAGACTTCCTGCCCACTGGGTCACTGGCCTTCGAACTTCTGGGTCTGCTCCGTGGGCTTCCCTGTACCTGTTCTTTTCCTTTCTCGCCGAAAAAAACCTTCAACCTCCTTTGACCAGAGAAGCAGAAAAACCACAGCAAAGAGCTGGCAGATTAATTTTATTGACATTTCCATTTTCACTGCAATGCGATACCCTCCATCACATGGAAGAGATGACCCTCACTATTTACAGACTGACAGGCCACTTCATTACAACCACCCTGCCCCAAGGCAAAGCAGCTCCCTTCCATCTGCCCAAACACTAGAGCATGACCCTGAAGTTGCTGTTCTCTTTTTCTTTGCCTTCTGTTATGATGAGAGGAGAGAGAGAGAGAGAGAGGGAGAATCCCAAATATTCAAACAACGAATCAGTGGGCAGGGAAACAAAGGCTTTTAACTTTTGAATACTGGAGATACCTATCTATCTATCTATCTATCTATCTATCTATCTATCTATCTATCTAGTCTTTCCTTCATCTTCCTGCACACTCATGTGCATCAGGGGTTCTCAAACACAAGACACACACACACACACACACTCACACAAGCTCACGCAGGAACACGTGCACACACTTTTCACCATGCCAAGGAACTGCTGCAAGGCAAATTCTCACCCACACTAATGGCTTCTGACTGCTCCTTGGCAACCCCAGCACTTTAACCTGGGTGGATATGCTCTCCAAAATACAGACACTGGAGCGAGCTCATCAGCTGTTCATGTGACACAGATGGAGAGTAGCTATTAGGAGCCAGGCACTGGGCCTTGGGGATCTGAGGTGCTGTTCTGTAGCCTGAGGCGATTTTGAAAAGCAGCACCCGGAGATGAGGAAAGAAAAAAAAAATCCCACACTGCAAGTGCAAGTTTGAAGTCAGTCAGTCTGTCTGTCTGCCTCTCGCAGATAGAGATATCTTTTCTTCCACCACAGAATCTACGTGGGCTATCTGAATGTACATCTCAGATAATGTATGTATGGGATAACTCTTCCTTCACTGTCTTCCAAATATAAAAACACACTCTGTAAACAATGCCTGTGTGTATGTATATATTTCTTCCTAAGCACATATGGTTTCTGTGTGTATGTTTAAGCTGAAATTGTCAGGATTTTGTTAAAATCTCATTTAGCTTTTTTGATAGGTTTTTGAATACACTTATTTTAAAAGGTTAATGCCTTAATTGAAGGAAGTTCAATGAAAAAAGGCATTTGCCTTTTTAACCCAACCAGTGACCTTAAAAATGAGAGGGACAGCATTTCTGTGATGCATTTCCTCCTGTTTAAAAGCAAAGAGGGCTGATAATCTCTTCAAACTATATGATTCACTGTAGCTAGCTAGAGCATCCTTTGATGACTGACTTAAACTGGAGAAACAGGAGCATTACATGAATTTTAATGTAAAGCGCTCCATGTTACATAAATGTTGTAAAATATTTGAACTGAGATACCACATAACAAAGAATTATAAACAAAAATGTGTCGAGATTTGCATCAATGACTAGATACTAGGCAGAAGACTTTAATATTAGTGTTTATACCTCTATAAAAAGAATTTTCCACTCCCAAATCCAACAATAAATACCACTGTTTTCTCCTCCACTGGACTGTGAACCAACTCCAGCATACAGCACTAACAAAGGCATAAAGAAAATTTTTGAAAGGCAACTGTGTGTTCTGCCACCTATCGTAACATTTTGCAGATGAGGCAAGAGTTAGTTGCTATTTGAGTGAATGTCATTTTCTTGTTTCGAGGCCTGTGGGTGTGTAGGTAAGATGCCTGCCTGGGAATCCTGGGCACATGTGCCAGACAGCTACTGTGCTGAAAAGGTATGGAGAGGAGCCTAAGTTCATGGGCCAAAGGAGGTAGAAAGATTAATGGCGTGTACTGCAGCATCAGAGGTTAGGATTCAAATGTGTGGAATCGTCAAGGAAAGGAGTTGGTCTTGCTGACCAGTAGTCAGAGCAGACCTAAGAGCAGACCTCCATGCCCAACAGGGGCAGATACCAAGTTGCTGCTGGGTGAGTGGATGACTGAATTGATCAGTGACCTCAGTCAGAGGCCCTCCTCTCTTCTTGGCAATCCTCACACTGGGCAACCACAGTGCTATTCTAGCAATTAACGGTCACTCCTCTGGAGAGGAGGGGGCCCCCTATGTGCACAGCTGCTGCTAAACATGTGCTGCTTTGAAGCCCTCGGAGCCCAAAGGGTGGCCTGAGGGACTGGGACACTGACCATTCCACCAGCACTGCCAGCTCTACTGAATAAAAAACTACAGAAAGAAATACTGTGCATGCTTCTTTTAAAAAGTTGCTAATCCTATGACCAAGGGCACAGTCTAAGTTTGGGCCAAAATACTCGAAACAGATGTGCATTATTGGAACATAAAGCATGTGACCATGAGAAGGAATATTCAAGGCCTATGGAAAGATGAATTTGAAGGAGATTAAATGATCAAGGGAGGTTGTTAAAGACACAAGTCCCAAGGCCTCAGCCCAAGCCCACTGAATCAAAATATCCTAGGGCACAGACCAGGAATTTGTATTTCTAACAAGTTTGCTTATACAAACAGCCCAGCACTGGTTCTTTAACTGGCTTTTGGAAGCCACCCAACTAGATGACCTACTTGCAATAAGACACATCCTCAGGAAGAGTAGGTAGTTAAAATTCTACTTTAATCTACGAGCAGGGCTAGTGGTCGGAATGAGTGGCTCCAATCTGGCCCAGGCCTCATTCACTGCAGGACAGCCACAGTGCTCTGCCCATCACCATGCAACGTCACCCTAATCTTCTGGGGTGTGGATTCAACAGACTCAGGAAGCCACAGAACAACAGCTCTCAAAAAGAGGAATAGCAGCTTTGGCATCATCTGAGAACCTGAGAAATGCAAATTCTCCGGTCATCCCCAGCCCTACTTGATCTGAAATGTTAGGTGTGAGGTCCCACAATCAGGCTATGAACAAGCCTTCTAGGTGGCTCTGATGCCCACTTCCACTGGAGGATGACATAGACTCCCCCCTTGGTCCTCTATCTCTCAGTGTTGTCTGAAGGCCTGGATCTAATCTCTGCATCCTCCTCCTCTGGCTTTAAGACTTGAAAGTATTTTGAGCGCATCTCTAGCTGGATTTACACCCATGCTCTCGAGGAAGTCACACATATTTTCCATAGCTATGCAGACTATGCTCAGTGCAGGGCGCAGCTGTGGTACATAGCTTGAGCCTACACCTACCTAAAGAGCAATGCCGTCTAGTGGCAGGATGCTAAGTCCTGAGATACCATGGCATCAGGGTATTGGGGGAAATTCACATTCAGAGCTGTATGTTTAATGAATCAGGGTGGACACAGGCACACTATGAGAGCATCCTAGGGCAGAAATTCCCCTCCATAAAATTCTTGGTCATAAAAACTACCCAGGCAAAACGACATGACTTCTTGTCATTCGCATACTGTCTTATTCCCTTTAGCCAAAAATCTGTTTCTATTTTAGACATCAGTTGCATGGTTGAAAGTAAAGAAATTATAAGAACAGTGATTATATGCTATGATCAGTCTAATACCACGGGGACATGGCCTTCTCCTTCTTTCTGTCCCATTAAGAACACAGTGTGACAAC